TTTTTATTTCCTTTGTCTTTAGTTATATATTTTGGGTATTTCATGGATGTGTGTTTTTGTTTCTTTAACTCAATGGATGGTTTTCGAGGGATAGTAAGTATGCTTTTTATTTTAGCTCTTTCCTCTTTAAGTGGTAAATATTGAATTATAGATAGTAGCCTTTATTTATTCAACAACAATATGTATTTAATGTGAGACACTGAAGTAGGCCCTGGCAATATAAACATGAGTAACACAGAAATAATTTTCTGGTAGTAGGAAACACATAATAAGTGGTTACAATACAATGAAGTACTATAGTAGAGGGCTGGAAAAGTACTTGGAACCCAGATGAAATGATCATCTTTTTTTTTTTTTTTTTTTTTTTTTTGAGAGAGAAAGAGAATGTGTGAGTGGGGGAGATGGACAGAGAGAGAGACAGAATCCTAAGCAGGCTCCATGCTCAGTGGGAAGCCTGATGTGGGCCTCGATCCCATGACCCTGGGATCGTGACCTGAGCGGAAATCAAGAATCAGACTCTCAACCGACTGAGCCACCCAGGCGCCCTGATAATCATTATCTTTATCAGGTGGACTCACAGAAGATTTTATCAAAGGAGTCACATTTTTATCTAGTCAAAAATGAGTAACTAGGTAGGTTCACAGCTGCAGGTTGAGGGAAACATTTTAGGCAGAATGAATGGAATACAAAAGTGCAGAATTATGGATGAGAAGAATATGTTTAAGAGACGTGAGAAGGTCTGTGTAACTTAGTATGAGGCTTATGAGTGGGGAAAAAGAGGCATACAAGAGGCATGCTAGAACATAAAACACTTTGTATGCCATTTGTCTCCATAGGCAATAGTAACCAGCAGAAGTCTTCAAGGGAAGGAGTGATATATTATTTTTTTAATGTTTATTTTTTGAGAGAGAGAAAGAGAGGAAGCAGGCTCTGCACTGACAACAGAGAGCTCCATGCGGGGCTCTAACTCATGAACCATGAGATCATGACCTGAGCCAAAGTTAGATGCTTAACTGACTGAATTACCCAGGTGCTCCCATATTTTTAATTTTTGAAGGTTAATTCTGGGAATAGTATGGATCGTGGCCTTAAGTAGGAAGAGAAAGTAGGAGATGGAATAATTAAGAAGATCATTTTAACAATTTAGTTGAGAGATATTGTGGGCTTGAATTAGGTAGTGAGGAGAAAGAATGGAACCTGAATTTTTGAGTAGGTATGTTTAAGGTCAGAAATCAGAAATTGGTTATGGTTTGGGGGGAGGAGAAATTGGAGCAGAGGAGGGGTTAAAGGAAAATGAATATGTAGAAGGTATGAGGGAAAGGGAAAAACTCATTGCAACTTTGAAGATTCCAGGCTAGAAGATAGAGTGAATGTTGATGGATTAAAATCATAATTTGGTCAGAATCCGATATGTTAGGAAAGTTGTGGAGTTGAGTGTTGTATGTGTTGCATTTGAGATGCCTGAGGAGCCACTAGAAATTCAGATTCAGAGAATGGAGAAGAGACCCAAGCTAAGGGGAGGCACATGGTCCTTAATATAGCATGAAGCCAGGTGAGAAGAGGCGATGATCTAGGGAGAGCATGTCAAGTTAAAAGGTGGCTTGAGAGCATTGTATACCTGACCTTGTACATATTTGATTGACTGATTAATTGTATTAATAATGGGCCATGTATGAAGCAAAAGAAATGGGGACATTTCACTGAGAAATCTACAAGATTCTGTGCAGGTTCTCATAAGTAAACTGTCATGTATCAAAACAGGTTACTTAAATGGAGTCCGTCCTCTATGTAGAGCTGCATGACTGAACAAGTAAGCTAACCAATATTTGATCCTCAGTTCTCATCTGTAGATAACCCAACCTGTATGGTCTTTCTGTGTTCACTCTTGCTTCACTACAAGGAATGCTCTTTATAGTAGCCACAGAGGTTTTTTTTTTTTTAATTTTTATTTTTTTGTCAACTAAAGGTGGTATTAATCTCTGTATAAGATCTCACCTCTTTCCTTGGCCCCTGCCAACCTCTCTTACTCATCTCTTATATCTGCCCTCTTAACTCATTGGGCCCTGGTGGAAGGATCCTTCTTTTCCTCTGGCCTTAGGTCCTGTGTACCTGATGAGTACTTTATCAATATGAAATGAATGAATGACTCTGCCTTCTAGGTTTCTTGTGAGAAGTAAATGTAAAAAAATGGTGTGAAGAGTCTGTTAATGTGCCTGGTTTGCAATAAATGCCACTTTGGATCATTTTTTTTCTTTTGTTATCCACCTATAGTTCTGATGTTTGTCTATATTTTTCTATTCCAGTATACCTTTCCAACTCTTCCCATCCAGCCAACTTACTGTCTTTGGTTTTTGCAGCCCCAGTGTCCATGTGTCCATGTGTGATGACATCTCTCTTCAGTTGACACTTGATATGATTTCATCCAATACCCTGGACTTTTTCATACATGTCCTCTCCTGGGCAACCCCATTTCTTATTGTACTTGAATAGTTGTATATAGATTCCTGGTTTGAAGGACACTGAGCATATAATGGCCTTCTTGCATGAAATTCTCAGAATGGAAATCCTCTGGGGACTGGTCCCAAGACTACCAAGAGATTCTTAGAACTCATAAAGCACTGTCTTGATCACATCATTATTTTGTGAATCTGGAATCAACAGTTCATAAATGGTAGCCAATACTTATTGAACACTAACTCTGGGCCAGAGTCCTATGTAATTTACATACATCACCTCACTTTGTGAATTTGGTTTTATTAGTATTTCTGTGTTACACATACTAACTCGCCTAAGATCATGCGTTTAGTGACTTGAAAGTCAGGACTTCGGCCCAGGTGGTCTAATTTCAGATTCCTGCACTGAACTATGCTTTTGTATTCTATAGTGCCCCAGTAACAGTTTTGGGGTCATAGAGTTAACGTCTCTTCTTGAGTGTTTGATTTTAAATTTAAAATAATATGCAGTTACAGGTTTTTTTTTTTTTAATTTGAATTCCAACGTTTCTTTCCTGCCATGTACCCTACCATTTCAAGTCTCATTTCACTTATGGCGACTACTGTTAACAACATTTTTAGAATTTTTTTTTCTGTATTGTAAGACTTTTCTTCTTAACCTCTTAGTGTGATTCTCCTCTGAGCTTATGTCTTCTGAAAAGTCAGCTTTTCATGGTTAGTTGCTGAAATTAACTGATGGTTGAAAGACTGTCTATCACTTGAGTTGACCCTTAGAGAAAGATGTTGCATCTCTGTCCCAGGCAAGCTTCTAAAATTAATTAAATTCTTACTTGATTGGAACCCACTTAGTTTCCGAAGGAGACCTATGACAACTCCAGCCTGATGAATTCTTCCAGTTCCCAGGACTGAAGCTGTTACTTGACAATCCACGTATGACTGTATCACCTTGATGTTCAGAAAAAAATGAACAACAGGCCATCTTGGCTAAGGAAATGGGGTTTGATGCTCTTTCCAATGCCAGAATCAAATGTTTTCTGAACAATGTGAAGAGATTTGTTTCTTGGCCCTTATCTTTTCTCTACTTGTCTATTCATGAAGAACTATAATTTTTAATCAGGAGACCAAAAATACCGCTATGGAAGTGGCCATGCTTTTCAGCACGCAGCAGAACATTTTCCTAAAAAGTGAGGTCACCAGAAGCATGGAGCAGAGAAATCCCAGATGGCACTAATATTTGATTTCATTTTTAGCACGCTCATATTCAGCAGATGGATTGGAAAGCTGACCTCTCTGACACTTCTGCATCACTGCTTGCTACTCCAATTGCCTTTGCGAATGTTTTTTCATAAGGCTTCTCCTGGTACCTCGGAGATTGATGCCTGGTCTCCCGCCCGTGTTATGCTTCATTACACCAAGCCTCTGTGTGGTGGAGAGTTGCTGTATTCTATAAAAGGGGAAATCCTAGCTCATCAGTATCTCAAACTTTTCCTACACTCTCTCAAATTGCTTGTAACATCTTGGAGAGCACAGTCTTAGCTTTCCGGTGTACCTCTGATTTGTATTTGCTTTTTAACTTGTCCATTTCTAATTTTTCTGTTTTCTTCTGTGACATAAATTATGAATAATATAAAAAACTCCTCTAGGAGTGACCAAGTTTGACTTTTTCCAACAGTCTAATTATATTAAGGTGAATATTGTTGAATTCCTCCTTGTACTGTTGCTTTGGGGCAGAAAGAACAGACCTAGGCTGGAGTGTCTGACTCTGCTGTTTCCTTTATTTTAGTGTTAGCCTCAGTTTCCTTGTTTGTAAATTAGTGATGTTATGAGGGCTGAGTAGTTAGGGTTGGTGTAATGAACATCGTGTGGTTGTCACAGTGTTGGCACAGAGTCACTTTTGTTATTTTTTTATGTTACCTCAGTTATGGTAGTTTGTGGTATGCTTAATGTATTTTTTGCATATGCACAAAATAGAAGTAAAATATAAAACATAATAATTTTGTTTATTTTTTATTTGGATTGCATGGGAAGTGAATTGTTAAGGAGGAAGTTTTTAAACATCGGACTCATGTTTTGTTTCAAGAAGTTTTATAAAACTACTCTATTCACTTTTCTAGATCATTACACCATCCACTTACCTAGAGATGGCCTCTGTGGGAATGAGGCACCCTTTTCTCTTTCCTCCTGCCCCCTCCATCTAGTTTATATTTCAGTGACGTGGCTAGCGAATCTGTCCTGCAGCATGAACATCCAGCATGTTTTTTTGTGTTTTTCCTCGCAGGATGACCCGTGTGGCCATTCTGTAAAGTTCAGTTCTGAGGAGGAGTAGTTTGCTTAAATCCTTACATGTTGCTGCTTTGCACACAACCAGATTTTAGTGCATATTTTAATGCAAAGCCTACTTTTGGCTTAGAAAACATTGCATATTTAATAGCTTTTTTGCTTGAATCAGATCTCCACCCAACGTAATGCTGATGAATCTCGGTTTTAGATGACTGCTATTTTGTTGTGAAACTTTCTTGAAGAAGTTCCTTCTTTTCCTTTTTATAGATCGAACATAAGGCCAGACTACGCAGACTCCAATTTCCATGAGTTCAAGATGCACACCTTCAGTCGGGTTACATCCTGCAAAGTCTGCCAGATGCTCCTGAGGTAGGCTTGCCCAGTCCTGTTTCTCAGTTTAAAGGAGCTGGTATAATTGCTCAGTGTCTCTGACTTTTCTAATGTACCAGCCAAAATGTTCTCAAGTGGGGAAATTGCCTTAACAGTTTCGAGTCAATAGATCTTGCCTCAGCGTTGAACCTAGGAACTCCCTTCCAAACCCCAGGAGGCCCCATCCCTCGGCTAAGAAGACTTCACAGAGTATCATGTTCCCTCAGTTTCTTTCTCCTGCTTGTGCTTTCCTGTAGGCAGAACTTAGCACCTTTTAACATATCACCCTCTAATTTTATCTTTCAGAGGAACATTTTATCAAGGCTATTTATGTTTTAAATGTGGCGCGAGAGCACACAAAGAATGTTTGGGAAGAGTAGACAATTGTGGCAGAGTTAATTCTGCTGGTAAGTCATGTTTATTGTTGTCATTCTGTTCTTAATTAGGACATAAACCTTGATAAACATAATTAAGGCCTAATTTACTCTTAATATGTGTTTATTGTGACACACCTGCTTTTGAAACTATCATTTATACAGACAATTAGAAAAAACTGCTTGAAATTCCTGTGACTTCTATACATACCTGGGGGGCAGAGGACTGCAAGGGGGCCTTGGCAGGTTTCGTGTCACCCATTTCATTCAGCGCAGCCCTTGAATCTCAGTACTGCTGTACAGATAAAGCCAAAGCACACAAGTGGAATAAAAAACCAAAAAATTATTTTTCATTTCTGTCTTTAGTCCTTAAATTTCTCCCTTGTTCTCTTAAATATTCAGCTCAGAAATGCTAATGATGCCAGAAGTAAACATCATACACACTAATTCATGAATTAATGAATTGAATACATTGTCATTTTGCAGCATTCAACAAAGAGCATATATCCTTTGGATTTCATGTAAATATTTTCCCCTTGGTTTTTAAAAATAATGCTCCATGATTCTTACATGAGCCAGTTGCTAAGGCTGTTGGCAATTATGCATTCAATAGCCTTTTGCCTCTCCCTGCTCCTCTTGGGGTCTCTTCCTTCTCTTTCTTTTCTGGCCTCTTTATTCTTTCTCTTTCTTCTTCTTTCTCTTTGTCCTTTTCCCCTGAGTTTCTCTTGTGTTTTATCAATAAGACCTTTCAAAATCAGTAAAACTTTTTGAACAGAAGAAAGGGATCTTTAACAGCTTGAGTTCAAAAGGTAGCCATGTCAACCTTTGATTTTCCCAAAGGAAAAGGTGGACATTGAATTATTTTGGATAATATGAAGAAGAGTGAAACAGAGAATAATAGCTCATTTCAGAGCTGAGTTCAGAAAATGGGCAGTTGTAGAAAAGGTGTGAATTCCATTAGAGACTAAGATCACAGCACATTCTTCTCACTTTGCTCCTTTGGTGGATGGTTTTTAAGGTTCCCGTGAGCCATGAGCTCTCTGTGCTAGGCATGGGCAGCCGCGAGAAGGATCCCAAAGTTAGGTGAGCACCTGCACTGTGCCTGTCTGGTTAGGGCCCTTTGCTGGGTCCTTCCTGCACGTACCTGTTCAATCCTCAGAACAGCTCCTCCCATTTTCTGATGGGGATCAGAGTGTTCATGCAATGTGCTCAAAGTCTGCTAAGACAAAGAGACAAGATTAGTACCCACTAATTTTTCTGAAGGTCAGAAACAGTTTACAGAGTTGTAAAATATAACAGAAGTGTTATATATTATTATTGTTATTCTTTAATTGACCATCTGATACAACTTATCACTTAAATTTTTGTTGTTCTGTCCTTATTTGTCCCCTCATTTAATCTCTTTGAGGACAGTTAACATATTATGTGTGCATGGTAGGCTAATGTGTTTTTGTAAACCCCCCAGCCCTGTCTTAGGAGTTTCAGTCTGTGAGGAATATAAAATGATCTCATGGTTGGCATGGTTCTTGCATTCTACTGGAAGAGTATAGGGCAGTAGTTGAGAGTCAAGCAGAAATGGTTGAAAATCTCGCTCTGCCTTTTGTTACCTACATGAGCTTGGGAATTTTACGTAAGCATTCTGAGATTTTGTTTATTCTTCTGTAAAATGGAAATTAGAGGATTCTCGTGAAGATCAAATAGAATAATGTTGATGGTACTAACACAGTGCTGGGCACAATAAAAGCTCAGTGTTTAATCCATGGTGCTGTGATGAGAAGTCAGGTTTTTGTTTGTTTGTTTGTTTGTTTTGAAAGGGATGGCCTTAATCTGTATTTTTGCTGCTGTTTTTATGATGTGAAGAAAATGTGGATAGAAGAAATAGCGAGCACCAAACTTTGAAGTGATATAAATAAGTGATGCTAAAGGACTTCAAATTTTCAACTTTTACTAAAAAAAAAAAAAAAAAAAAAAAAAAGTCAATAGGAAATAGTTGGGAACTCCTGGTCAGGCAGATACAAGAGTGGTGCATTCCCCGTTTGTTCCTCTGTCACAGTTGCAGCATCCTCTGCCCTTCACTGAGTAGCTCTGGACTGAGACTGTGTGTGATAGCAGTAAGCCCATGAGCTCTGGAGTCTTGGTCTGGTTTGAATCCCACTCCAGAGCTTACCACCTGGGTGACTTACTTAACCTTCGTAAGTCTTTGTTTCTTCCCTCCTAAGGTAGGGATAATTATACCTAGCCTTTAAAAGCCTTTTT